CGGCTCTGAAACACCCTGGGGTCTCGAGGCAGCCTTTGGAGCATGGCTGTGCAGACTGACCGCTCGTTCCCCAGGGGTAATGATAACATACCCTTCTCTCACGCCCGTCAGCCAAGGAGCCAAGGGTCTTAACTTCAGTTGCTCAACGAAAGGCTATTTTTCTGGGCTGCAAGTCCTTGTCCAGTGTGAATAAGCAGAAGGGAGCCAGGAGCGCAAGTGCATGGACGCAGCTCCAGGGAGGCCACGGGCCCCAGCTCTTTGCAAAATCCCATCTGGATCTTATTTTGCAGAGGCCACGGCCCTGTTCTGTGTAACTAGGGAGCATTCAGGAAAATAGCTCTCAGCTTGAGAATAGGAGGCCTCGAGGGTGGAGCTTGTATTTGACTGGGGTCACACAGGGGGTTCCCCACACGGGGACGTCAGCCTGACTTCACCCTAAGCTGCATTCGGGGTCTGGGTTACTGTCGCTGACTGGGCTGGGCTAGATCCCATCTTTCCACCTGACCTAGTGATCTGCCACCTGAGGGGTCAGAAAAGGAGCCGGGCTGCTCTCTCGGGCCGGGCTCTGAAACCGCCGAGCCGGAGCGTTGGCGCTCCTTGGCCTGTCTGGTCGGCGCCACCTCTGCGAGCCCCAGCGGCTCAGCGCCCACTCCCGCGACCGGTGGCCTGTCCAAGTACATCTTTTAAATTCAGTTCCTTTCTTTATTGAATATGGTAGTTCCCTTTCAGAGTTCTTCGAAAACTATAACCTCAATCTTTTTTTTTAATTGATTGATTCTAGGGAGAGGGGGAGAGAGAGAGAAACATCTATTTGTTGTCCCACTTATTTATGCCTCTGTTGGTTGATTCTTGTATGTGCCCCGACCCGGGATGGAACCTGCAACCTTGGCGTATCCGGACGATGCTCAGGCCAACGGAGCACCTGGCCAGGGCTATAACTTAATCTTAAAATACGTAAGGAAAGAAAATGAAGTTCTATTTTTTCAAAGTATTTTGGTTGACATCGGAAGGAAAGGAGGGACCTGATTGAGCTCTAAGGCTGATCCCTGCACTGTGACTTCCAGAACGCGGGACCGGGGCGGGGAGGCGGGGGCAGGGGGGCGGGGGCTGCCGGGCGCCCAGGCACAGGCTGCGAGCCAGCGTGCTGGAGCCGGCAGGGTTCTTAATCCGCTGTCTGGCTGAGTTGACTGAAGACAAGCTGTTCTGAAACAGGACGCAGCAGCCGTGCGGGGGTCCTGCCCTGTTCTTGTCTGACTCAACTCCCGCTCAGGCACCAGCCTAATCTGGTGCAAAAAAAGGGAAAACTCAGGATTGCCATTCATTGTTAGGCGCCTTTTGTTCCTCAGACCTTCCTAAGAAAGGCTTCAAGCCAGAGGCCAAGTCCTAGGAGGACGCTGGTCTCTGTGATCCAGGCAGGGGGCGATGGCCTCTCTGAAAGGCCAGCTTTGAGACCGGCCGCTCGTTACCCTGGCTCCGTGGTCCTGCTTCGTGTAGCTCACCCTTGATTCCTAGGTGCGCCCCCACTGCTCCTCGGGAAGGGGTCAAGGTGGAATCTGTTGCCTTTCCCAAGCTTCAGTTAGAGTTTTTAGTTTCGGTTAGAGTTAAAGCTATGTCTGGTGGAAAACGACCTGGAGTAAGAAGAAGGACTCTGGGAGCCCGGGTAGTGGGGCCCTTCCAGCGGACAGCTGATGCGGACCCACTGCTCAGGGCTGAGAAAAAGTCCCCGAGGAAGCCCCTGCTCTCCTGGCGAGACGAGCACATGGGCAGGCGAAAGCTGCATGGTTCCTGCTGCGAGCCTCCCCCGGCCACCCCAGCACCGGAGTGCCGCCACCTGTCAGGGGCGCCGCCACAGGCAGGGTCCCCGGCCAGGCCACGGTGCCCTCCACCTTCTCATTGCTCCCCACACAACTACGCGTCAGCTTGGGCTTACTTTGGAGCCCTTCAATGACAGTCTGAACAAACCTGGGGTTTCTCTTCACTGTCTTCTTCTTATTTATGTTTAAGATTTTATTTATTTATTTTTAGAGAGAGGGGCAGGGAGAGGGAAACAGCAAAGAGAAACATTGATGTGAAAGAGAAACATCGATTGATTGCCTCTCATCCATGCCCCTTCCAGGGACCGCACCTGCAACCTAGGTATGTGGCCTGACCCGGAATTGAACCAGCGGCCTTTCGCTTTGCGGGACGATGCCCACCCTACCGAGCCGCACCCGTCAAGGCTCTTCTCCCTGTCTTTTGATTGTCGTTGCAGAATTCTGAGAGCCACGGAGGGTCAGACTTTGGTGCAGGCTATTGGGAGACGGGCGCCTGAGTGGTTTCATGGGAGTGTGTATGGAACCGTGGTCCCCGCCTCTGCTTCTCTGTCTGTGTCAGGCCCTGGGGCTGGAGTCCTCTGCAAGCCCCTCTCTCCAGTTTCTAGCACGTGTGTCTGTGCTGGGCTCCTCTGTGAGGAGGGAGGCCATGGTGGACAGTCAGTTTATGCTTCTAAAGCTCCTTGGCAGCTGTCCTGAGGCCTGAGGAGCCTTCTGGAGTCGGGGAGAGGTCGTTCTTGGGGATCAGACAGAACCTCCATAGGATGGAGGTTGGTGTGTGGATGTCTGAGGTCCAGTTTGAGGGCCAAGATGCCCACGTAACTCCAGGACCAGCTGCTCGGTGACCCCGGTGCCAGAGAGTAAGGGGTGCCTCACAGGCATCCCTTTGATTTGCCTGGGCCCTCTGGAGCTTGCGATGTCATGTCCCCTTGCTCACTTTGGCAGCTGTGATGTCTCTGGATCTTCTGTGAGAATGTGGGTAATCTAAGCCCTTCAGAACCCCCCCAGAGGGCGGCAATGCCAGGCTCCCCCCACCCCACCAGCCTGGGTCTCAGCAGGTTCAGGAAGCGATCCCTCCCAAGCTCTCCACAGCAGTCCACACTGGAAAGAGGGGCTAAAACTGGCCTCGTGTGGTGACCTTCCCCAGTCTTGTCCTCTACCTCTTCCAGGCTGATGACCTTGAAGACCACCCCTACCCCTCTTGGAGTAACTGCCGTCTCCCTGGATGCTTTTCCCAACCTGGCCAGACCTGGGAAGAGCCCTTGGGGTCGCCTGGGAAAGCCGGCAGGGAGAGCCTCCCCAGGGCCCTGGGCCCTCCCGCTGCCAGCAGACCGCTCTCTCTGCAGCCCTGGAAGCACCCCGACTCCTCCCATGATTCCAGGTTGGGCTGAGCCTGGCATGTTCAGATGGCGGGGTCCACAAGGGCAGGGAGGTGTAGCTGCGCAGTTCGCTCACCCTCGAAGACCCGTTGCTTAGAGTCTGTCCTTGCACTCAGCGTTTGTCTGGACTGTGATGCTGTAATCTATTCCCAGGGGCCCTAAATGAATGAACTCTCTGTCCACACACAGCCGTGTACCAGGCTCTACCTCTGTGGAGGGGATGATCTGACGAAAGCAGCCTTGTACCGCCCGAACGATTTGGAGTAAGTCAAATCCCTTTTTTGTTCTCTTACCTAAAAATGGTGAGTGAGGAGAATAGGAGGGCCCAACTTTACCAACAGATCTCTAGCATCTACCGCTCTAACTTCTGACTTTAACAGCTTGCAAGCAGGACAAGCATCTTTTGTTTTTGCCAGGACACAGACTGGGCTGCCATTGTGGGGCACGCACAGAGGCCACCTCTCTTCTTTTTTTGAATCTTCACCCAAGGATACCCGGGGATATGTTAATTGATTTTAGAGAGAAGGAGAGAGAGAAAGAGAAACATGGATGTGAGAGAAACATCACTTGCTGCCCCCTACACGGCCCCAACGCCCAGGCCCAAGGAACCTGCAGCCTAGGTATGCGCAGGAATTGAACCTGCGACCTTTTGGTTTACCCGCTGATTCTCCAGCCAACTGAGCCCCTGGGCAGGACCAGAGCCCCCCTCTCGTCTAGCCAGGGGAGTCCCCCAACCCTGGGCAGGGTCCTCTTTAGACCTGGCACCTGCAGGCTAGGCCTGGGTACAGCTCCAGCTTGAGGCTCTTAGCTGAACACACATCCAAACCCCAGGTTAGGGTGACGGTGGGGGTGAGGGTGGGGATGTTCTAAATATTTACTCCTAATTTTGGAGGTTTCTGTGAGAAAAGGTACTAGGTTTGAGAACAGCCAGGTCTACAGCTGGCAGCTCCTATACCGAGTTCCCCACTCAGATAAGAGTTTTTTCTGTCGAATTAACCAGGAGAGGAGAGCCCTCCACTCTGGTTTTTAGACATGAACTCCTGTGAGTAAGCTGTGGCCCTCACCAGGGAGCCCATGGTCCGTCACACAGCTCGTGGGCAGCCTGCTGAGCCCGGTCACCGTGGAGGTCCCGGTCCCCGCCAGCCCACCGCAGACTCTCGCTGCCTGGTGTGGCCACAGCCTGTTCGCCTGGGCACTCAGGCCCGGGAGGGATGTCTCTCCGCGGGAGTCCCCCGAGGATCCACGGAGCAAGCCCTCTTTTCCTGCGGGGCAGAAATGAGAGCCAGAGACAGACTGAGAGCCCGCCCTGCTGAGCCAAGAGGCGGCTAGAGCCATACGAAGCGCATTAACTATTAATAATTTCCAGTTGTTCGCTCGCTGGGTTCGGCCGGCTCCCCAAGCCTCTGCAGGCCGGGGCTCTGCTCTGGCTTCCTCAGACCTCCAGGGCTCGAGGTATTAGCGCCTGCTGGGCCCTGCTGGGATAGGGCGACGGGGCAGGCACCGTCAGGGGCCCGGGGCTAGTGGGATCCCGTGTCCACCTGCAGCGGGGAGGGGGCCCGGACGGGCCCGGACGTGGGACCGGACGGGGTCCTCGGGGAGGCCAGCCCGGCACCCCCGGCGCGCTGAGATCCGCCGCTCGGGGCGGGCTGGGCGGCCGGACGGAACGTAGTGCAGGCGGCGCACCGCGGGAGCGCAGCGGCCCCTGGCGCCGGGCCTCGCGGCTGGGCCTGTGCGGGGCGGCCCGGAGGGCGGGGCGGGGCGGAGGACGGAGGGCGGGCCCGGGGCGCGGCAGCCGGCCAGACTCGCACCGCGCGCGGGCGGCGGGCAGGCAGGGCGGCCGGGCGGGCAGCGGCCCCGGCCCGCATCTGCGCCCCTCGCTTGTCCGCGGCCCCAGCCCGGGCCCAGCTGCGCGCACAGCCATGGTGGGCCGGCTGAACCTGCAGGATGTGCCCGAGCTCGTGGACACGAAGAAGAAGGGCGACGGCGTCCTGGACAGCCCGGATTCGGGGCTGCCTCCCAGCCCCAGCCCCAGCCATTGGGGGCTCGCGGCGGCCGGGGGAGGCGGCGGCAGCGGGGAGCGCGCGCCGGCGCCGGGAGCGCTGGAGCCCGACGTGGCGGCGACCCCCGCGGTCTTGGTGAGTAGCGCCCCTCTGGCCCTTTCCCTCCCATCCCAGGCGCAGCTGGGCCCGGGAGACTACCAGGAGGTCGTGCGGCCCCTTTCGGGGCGCACTATCAGCGTCGTCACCCTCCCGTCGGGACGGCGTGGCCATAGCTGGGAGCCCGGGGCAGGAGCGCTGCGAGTGCCTGGCCAGCTGGAGCCGGTGGCTGGAAAATTGTCATCGCCTGGGAGGCGCGGGAGCCCCGGGGAGAGGCGAGCCGCCGCCTCCTCCCTTCGGGGTGGCAGCCTCCGGGGCGGCCAGCCTGCGGCTCGGCCACATTCCTTCCCCCGCCGGGCTGGAGGGGGCCCGGGAGCACCGAGAGGGAACCCCAGCGTTCCCCGAACCTCATGCCTGGCACTCCCTCCCGGGCTTTGCCCCGCAGACGGCGGCTCCCGAGGGCCTTACACCTTCCCGCTGGTCTTAGGGAGATGGGTGTGCTCTGGCTCCCCAGCGCCCCGATTCAGACAGCGAACGGGGCCAGTCTTTGGGGACTGTTAGTAGCCTTGGAGGGACCTTTTGAGAAGGGTCACCCCATGACCCTGCCCCCTGCTTATGGCCCGCTTGTCCTGCCACCTAACCGGTGTCTGGCACATGATGGGTGGGAGGCCTTGAAGTGGGTGGAAACTTTCAAAAATGAATCCTTTTATTTTCTTTTAAAATTCTTATTTCAAGAAAAACACCGAGTTTCTTTTGCCTTAGCAGCCTCTCAGGTGGTGGTGTTTATTGCCTTTATCTAGAGCCCAGGGGAGCCCACATCCTGCCTTCAGGCAAAGCTCAGAGTGGGGCCCTCACCCCACCCCCCACCCCCGCGTCCCCCCAGCCCCCCCTCCCCCCGGTCCGGGGAGGGGCCTGTGCAGCCCTCTCCCCTGGGTGAAGCAGTCAGTTGCAGCCGCTGCTCCTTAAGGACCCACACACTTTGATGTAGTACAGAATTTTTGACCCACTGACCCTGCCTCTGGATGGACATGACTGTGTTCTCTCCTCTCTGTGAGAAGGCAGCACCAGGTTCAACCTGGCCTTCAGAACCCCTGCCATCAGGCCCCTTCTAGCCTCATATGCCGAATCCCCTGCCCTGGGCCGGTGCCTCCGAGGCTGCAGCCTCCACTCGGCATGGCTTTCCCCTCCAAGCCCATCCCTTTCTACCTCTCCCAACGCCCAGCCAGCGTTTCCACCTGTCAAAGCCCTGCTGGCCCTTCAATGCCCAGCTTATCACCTCCTCTGGGAAGTCTTCCCTGATGCTCTCCGGGGCCATGCTAGAGTCTGTGGCTTCATCCCCGTTCCCTGGAGGCACCTTGTTCATGTGTTGTAACTCCCGCTGCCGCCCCACTCCCCGCCTGCACCTGGAGCAAGGTGCGTGCTCCGTGCGTGTGTCTTGGGTGGGCAGGGATTAGGGAGCAGAGCAGGCCGAGGCGAGGGAACGAGCGCTGTGAGGACGCCCGAAAGAAGGCTGTAATGGGGGTGTTGAAGAGTCGCCTGCCTACGCCTGTGGCTGTGTCATCCTGCAGCCCAGGACTGTCTGGAAGGTACCCCCAGGTCGAGAAATCACCGGCAGCCAGAGAGCTGGGGACAGAGCAGGGCTCACTGTCACGACTTGAGGGTGTTCCCAAAAGCTCAGCCGCAGCCAGTGCCCCCACTGCACCCCTCCCCTGTCCACTGGCCTTGGCTCTCAGCCACGGCCCCTCCCCAGCCGGGGCTTGTTCAACTCTCCACCCAGATTCAGGTGCTGGTCCCTCAGGACCCTCTCTCTCTCTGACGTCCCCTGTCCCCTTTGGCTTGTGTATTTCCAACCTACACCTCCAATGACACCTTGTCCTAGCAACACGGTCAGTGTCTTAGAGCCAATCTTCCACCTTTTCTGTCCTGGAAGATGTGAGGCTGGGGCTGCAGTCTCTATACCCCGGCCCAAGTCGGGGTCCTTTTCTCAAATCAGGCAAAGAAAATGACAGATTCCCACCCCCATAAACCTGGGAACCCAACGGGTTAGTACCCAGAAATCCAGGGAGAGCTAGCACCTGCGTCTAGGATGGACCCGCCTCTCAGGCGGCCTGGCGCAGCAGGAGGTCCAAAGCTTTGACCAGACGGGAAGCCCGTTAAGTTCTAGGCACGCTGTGCTCCCACTCCTTGAGTTTTCTGGAGAGTGGGAAGCGGCGCAGAGAACCTTTGGGGGTTCATCTCACTGGGAGGGTGCGGAACCCTCCATCTTGGCTGGTGTTGCTCTCCCCAGAGGCAAGGGGGTGGGGGAAGTTGTCCCGAATCTGCAATATTTAAAAAGAAAAAAAAAAAAAAGTCCCTGGTCGGATGATTTTGTTTTGGCTTTTTCCAAAGTGTTGCTGAGACAATGACAGGGTTGGGGGCACATAATTGAGGGTTTGGGTTCGTGGAGCCCCAGCCGATGAAGGTTTCCTGCCCGCCTCCCTGCGGGGTGGCGCAGCAGGCCCTGGGTCGTGCATGGGTGATGCTGCTGAGCTCCTGTTCATTTCCTCTGTGCGGCCTTTCACAGAACCTCAGTGTGGGCAAGGTATGCAAGGCAAGGTCTCAGAGCACGTGTGACGCGACTCTTGTGAGGCCACGCAGCACATTCGTGAGAGATCTGGGATTTGAACCCAGAGCCCCTGGCTCCCGGTCCATTCCATGCTGTGGGCCAGCCCTTCTCTGGTGTGATTCCCAGGCGGGGGGGGGGGGGGGGCATGAGTCACAGGGGGGCGCTCAGCTGGAGGCTCAGCGCCCGGACCTTCTGTGGGGGACATATCAGCCCGGCCTGCGGTCTGACTGTGCTCTCCATCCTCACAGAATCCGGCCTCGCTGCCCACGGCCCCGGCCTCCGCGCCCAAGTTATGTCCCCTGTCCTTTGGCGAAGGTGTGGAGTTTGACCCCTTACCACCAACGGAAGTGAGGTAAGTATAGCAGGCTCTGATTTTATTTTATTTTTAAATGTTTCATTTTTTTAAATTCCAGAAATGAATACTTTTTTATCTTTTAAAATTAGCTTATCACAAGAGTGTGCCAGTGACTATTCATAGTTTGGGGAGCATGCTTTCAGAATGTTTTCTGCATTCTAACCAATTAAATATATAGACACACTTTTTAAAATAAAAACAGGATCATGTTACATATAAAGCCCTGCAACTTGCTTTTCGTACCTCATATGTCATGGCCATCAGATGTTTAAAATTTTCCAATAAATTCCTCTTTCCAAAAGCTGGTCCCCCTTTCCCCACCCCCAGCCAGCCTCGCAGCCCTGCTTCCAGGTGCTGCAGCCTTGTTTTTATAATTTCACCGGGAAAGTATCATTCTTCTTCAGGAATTTATCTCACCCAGGATTATCTGGGGCCAGAGATTCACTGAGCGGCTCTGTTCAAGATATGTCTTTTTAGAGAAAGGAATTTTACTTTTGGGAGCTGGTGGTTTTATAGCCGGAGTTTCAGTTGCCTTGAGACAAAGGGCCCTTTGACGTGGAACAAAGGAGGCTCACCAGTCTGGAGGTGAGCGCTGCAGCCCTTTATTCCTGCAGAGCTTGTATTTTGAACAAAATGAGGACATGACTTCATGACATGAGCTTTCACCAGCTTCTTACCTACTTGCTTCAGGAGAATAGGCGTTTCTCTCCAGCTCGTTGGAAAGAGTGCTGAGCCTCACTCCCTGACCGGTGGGTGGGGGCTGGCGGGGACAGTGTTGTTGGATGTCTACGTGATGCTCACATACATTTTAATGCTTATGAAGCTGTAATGATTACACAGGAGAATGAACTATGCTTTGCTTATATATTCATAAAAAAATAACTCCCAAATTACCAAAGAAAGACTTTAAAAATAATACGTAGCTGCTTGAGGCACATTAACGTTTGGGGTTGTTTTTTTTTAATGGAAATCAAGATTGTCATTGGCTTGGACTGAGAAGGTCAGGCCTCAGAGTCCCCGAGTTTGAGGGGGTCTCCAAACTAAAGGCCAAGGTGGGCCAAGTGCTAGAACGTGGCCTCACCGAGCATTCGGAAGCATCATCCAGGATTTCTGGGCTCCTTCCGCCTCTTTTTAAAGAGCTAATTGATCACTTCAGGGGACAGGGACACTGCTCCCCCCTAGTCTGGCGGTAGAATTCACGTCGTTATATAATCATCACCACTGACAGCGCTTGCTGTGTGAGCATTCTGGCCAGTTCTTGTTGGGCACCTCTTACGGAAGAAGGTTGCCGAGGCTTTGAGGAGTCCGGAGGCAAGGCCAGTAAGGGGACCGAGCTCTCGCAGCTGGAGTGCATGGGCGCAGGCTCCAGGGGCTGCTGTCCGCAGTGAGAGCAACGGAAACTCTGGAGCCTTGCACACCTGCACCTAAGTGCAAGCCCTCACTACTTAGCCCCACTGTGGCCTTAACCCTCGGCACCTCGATTACCTCTCCCAGGGTTGTTGGGACAGTTAGATTAGATCCTGGAAGTGCTTCGAATGGCACCACCCAGGAAGTGCTGTAGTAACTCTGTGATGCTTCTAACTGAAGTAGCCGCAGCTGAAGGTGTGCGTCCCACCAGGCGCTGAGAGGCGCCGTAGGGCCTCCAGTGCTCCTGGCTCAGAGGAACCCTGTCATACTGCCTTCCGTCTCCCACCCAGGTACACTTCCTCAGTCAAGTACGACTCCGAGCGGCACTTCATTGATGACGTCCACCTGCCCCTGGGCCTAGCCATGGCCTCCTGCAGCCAGACGGTCACCTGCATCCCCAACTGCACATGGCGCAACTACAAGGCCGAGCTGCGCTTCGAGCCCCGCCACAAGCCCACCCGCTTCCTCAGCACCACCATCATCTACCCCAAGTATCCCAAGACCGTCTACACCACCACCCTGGATTACAACTGCCGCAAGACGCTGAGGAGGTTCCTGTCCAGCGTGGAGCTGGAAGCCACGGAGTTCCTGGGCGGCGATTACCTCTCGGATGAGTGCTGACTCCCGCAGCCTGGGTGGGGCCGGACCGTCCCCCGCTGCCCTGGCCACGCGGGCCACGCCACCCTCGAGTGTCATTCATGCCCCCGGGAATCTAACCTAGAGACACCTCTAAGCCCAGCCTGGGGAAGACAAAAAAATGTCACGGCATCTTGTCGTAATTGAGAGAATTTGGTTTTTAAGAAATTGTCAAATCGTTTTTAAAAGGAGTGTAATTCTAGTTTGCTGCTGCATAGTTCCCCCACCCCCAAGTCTCAATTTGATGAGGAAAGGAAGGGATTGCAGCAAAAGAAAAGGGCCACCATTTGACATAGGGAGGGAGGGAAGAACTCCTCTTCCATTGGTCAGCTTGTCTGAGAAAGAGCGTGGAAAAAGCCTCTGGAATGGAAAAAGTGAGTTTAAGAAATTTCAGCCCGGGGTGTCTTCACTGCTTCGAAAGCGGTGCAAATTCAGTAAACTGTGACACCCATATGGGTTCAATCTGTGTGGAGTGTGAAGTTCCATTCCATTTTTTATTTCCATTTCCATTTCCATTTCCTGCTAACCGAAACGCTTCGAATTCTCTAAATCTTTTTCATGACATCAGAAAGAAAAGAAACAAAAAAACAAAAAACACCACACCACAGAATAAGATTTTTTTTTTTTTAAAGAAAAGGTTTATCCCGCGTTCGCGCTGTAGGAGGCTCAGGTCAGCTGTAGGCGGACTTCGGGAGCAATGGCTTCGGTTCCGGTTCCTTCCACCAGCTGCTTCTGAGCTCGGGGTCTGGCAGGACGCCTCGCACCCTTGGCATCTGGTGACGTCTCCACAGGCTTGTGTAACCCTCCTGATGTGTATTTTGGGGTTTCCAAATACTTTCCTATTTTTTCATAAGGCAAAACATTGCAGAGAGAGACAGCATTTTAAAAGAGAGCTTAGGAAAAACGCTTCCTGGGACTCCGCTGGGGGCTTTCACTCACGGCGGGGACTGGTGGCCACGCCCGGGACCCGGTGCCCCCTGGCAGGAGGCGAGTGTAGATGTTCTGGTGATCTGGTTCGTCAGGGTGGGTGTCCTCTCCAGGGACCCTGGGTCAGCGGCCCATAGGACTTGGACGTGTCCGCGTGGCAGAGGAACTCCGCCTGCGCCTTAGGTCTGAGCCTCAAGTGAGGAAATGGCTTCCCCAGGCGAAGTCAAAGCAGGGACGAAGCCGCACGTCCCCTTCCAAAACCTGGGTGCTGCTGTGATGGTGCCCGTTTCCTTTAAGTGTCATGGACTACAGAAACCGAGGATTCAGGGGAGCTGGCCTCGGAAGCAGGGCGGCGGCTGGGCCACCAGGGTGCCCCGGGCCAGGCCACTGCTGGCCTTGCCGCGCCCGCCCTGCCTCGCCCCCACGCCTACTTCTTCCTGCCAGTCTCTGAGGGCCACTTCATTTTGAGTGAAGAAAGTGGCAGACAGTTTTTCCTCTTCCAATGCTGGAAAGAACAGGCCGTGAATATTTCCTCTGAATACATCCCAGTGCTGTCGCGTGTTCGAGGGTTGCAGAGTGTTGTACGCTCGGACTCCCGCTGTATCTCCGGGTTTCTGTTGATGGCTTCCATCTGCCCTGAAAGTTGAACAGATAGCTCTGTGGGTTCCCTGGAACCCCAGCAGGGACTTCTGTTCTGAGGAGAGCAGGCATGATGACAATCACCTTCGTTTAAAGTCTTTGGAGGCCTGTAGAGCCAAACTGTCTGGTGTCCTCTTTAGATTTAACAATATTTAGTCTGCCATGCTCCTAACTGACTGGAAGCATCCTCGAGTGGAGCGTGCTGTGAGCTGGACCATCCTGAGTTTGCCACGGCGGGGTTCGGGGGTCCCCTCAGCAGGGCGCTCCGGGCCTGTAGTCTCCTTAGTCATGCAGAGCAACAGATGCTTCCTGTGCTTGGAAAAACAGATTACATGGCATTTATGATAAAAATGGATTTTTCTCTCTGATCCTGTCATCTTGTCATTTAAGGCAAGTGATAAATGTAATTTTTAAATTATGTTAAGAGAATTCCCAAGGCTTTGCTGTGGCTGGATGGGTCACTGGAGCGAGGTCAGACCACTGTCGTGGGCAGCATGTCGGGAGATACGAGGGCCGGGGAGCGTGGCCTTTGACCACAGCAGTGTCCTAAGACGTCCACTGATTTTGGTTCAGAGGGATTGGGTGAAGGTCCGGCAAATCACTCTAGGTGGGGAGAGAATCTGAATTCTATCAGTAAAGTAAGTAGAAATGAGCGATTGTGAATGTGCAATGTGAATGAAAAAGCAGGTTTTAGTTTGTTAAGTTATTCACTAGGGAATGAACTTTAGTTCTAATCCTTTTTTCTTCAAACCTGCTTGGCTGAAAGTTCCAGAAAAAAGAAGCATGTGAAGACACAACCGGACACTTCAGGGTAGACACGTAACATCGATCAAGGGGAGGTTGGTGTTGGTTTGCAAAGAGGAAGCAATGACTTTTAAAACTCAATAAAACCAGGCATCCCTAAGTGTATCTGGGAGATACAGTTGACTTATGAATTAAAGTCTTTCTTCTCAGGCTGTTAAATTTTGGCTTTCATGTAGTGAGGATGAATTTGTATTTTCTGAAAAACTGTTTTCAAGTCCAGACCTTTTAAAAAAGAATGATTACCTTTTCATTTGACACTTTTCCTGTTTCTAACCTTAGGAAATCCAGAATAGTATTTGACAGAAACTTAAATTTATCTTTGACATCTCTGTCCTGCCCCATTTTGCTTTGTGACTCCTTCATTTAACAATAAATTATCTTTAAAAAAAAACCCCAAAAACTTAGAGATGCTTCTCTTTTTTTAAAGTAAAATTATGATGGTTAGGGGAAATGAGAAAAACAGTTCTTTGTCTTAAGATTTTTAAATATGTGATTGTATTCTAATAGAATACTACTTTGGTCTGGAGTTTGCCTTTCCCTGGGGACCCAAGGTTTCCAAGGCGTCCCTGGGCACAGAGAGCTGTAAGGAGTTTGTTCCCAGGCTGGGTGTGCGCTCTTTCCTGAAGCCCATCCGCCCTGCGAGGAGGCTGCGAGGAGGCTGCGAGGAGGTCAGACCAGTCCTCCCTGCCCACCTCCCCTTTCCGATTGCCTTTCCCCGCTTTGCAGAAGAAATGCTTGTCTTAGTTGAACCATCTTAAATGTATCGGGCGGCGTTGCTCTGGTCTGGAAAAACACGTAGGTACTGGACAAAAGAACAGCGAGAGACATCGGTGTCCGGGCACCAGGACCCTACTCTAGAGCTTCTTGTCCATCGCCATCCCACACCTGACTTTGCCAAGGATGAAGTATGGTGGCATAAGCAAGGCTGGCCCGTGTTGGGTGTGTCCCTCCTTCCAAGGGAGGAAGTTGGAGCAATGACACTTTGCACGGAATACCCACACCTCTTCGATGTCAGGCTAGTGTCTTCCCAGAGGGAACGTCCCCTTAGGCCAGGCGAAGAGAGGACCAATAGGCAATACTGAAAGTGAAGACATCTTATTTCGTTCCAGCATCACATTCATGGCAAGGCCTTATCTGTTAGACTTTGAGTTATGACACAGAGATAATTATGTCCCAGAAATGCGTACTGTCATTCCTAGAATTTTTTTTTTAAAGCCAGCCTCTGTTTAACAGAAATTAAGTTTCCCTTGGCTGACCGGGGTGAGAGTGAGGCCTCATATTGCCATTAGGTTATATGGTGTAAATTTTCCATAAAACAAATGCGCTAATGAGCAGTTCCAAGGTTTTGTTGGAACAACGTTTAATGTGTGTAAGATTAAAGTTATAATTGCACGTGTTGGGGGTAGGGGGCGTCTAGAGAGAGGCAAAAGGGTGTTGGAACTAATAGCGTTTCAATTTTCCCTTGAAAAATACCTTTCTAGGTATATCAGATTGGGCTGGCGCCCTCAAGAGGAAAAAGTAGTGCATATAATTAATAATAATATGATCAAACTTAAGAAGGCTTTTTGGTATACTCCCCAGGAGTTTAAGAAGTGAATGACTCTATTGATCAGGTAATAGATCCTATTGCAAGAAATGCCTCTTTTCAAAATTAAACACTAATACTTTTATTTTAGAGTAAAATCACTCTCAACTTGTTTGTTTGTATTACTATTTCCCAATGTGCTTTCTATGGAGTAAAATAAGGGTCTGTGATCAAATAATTTGGGGGAAGTTAGAAGTTGGACCTTGCTAATTATATTTATTGCAGGGCTTCTAAGAACCCTTGTATTAATCAGCTTTTGCACCATAACAACCACCACAAATCTCAGTGACACCTAATTTTGTCAAGGTTGAAGCACTTACTTCTTGCGCATGAGTTTACAGGTCCCGTAGAGCAGGTCTGCCCCAGGCTGGTGTTGAGTTCGGGTTTGGGCCTCCTGTCTCTGAGCAGCTAGCGGGGTTACCTGCAGCGCATTTTTCTCATGGAAGAGTTCAAACAATACCAGAGAAGCAGGTAGAAACACAATACCTCTCAAACCCCATGCCGGTACCCTGTTCCTTCCCCCCGTGTTCTACTGGCCAAAGCAAGTTGCATGACCAAACCTAACTACTGGGACAGGGAACCACACTGTCCCCTTGGATGTGGGGAGAAAAAGTGAATATTCGCTGTACAATAGCCTTTAATATGTTCATGTGCATTAGGAATCTTTAAATGGAAGAATCTAGCATATTTCTAACTTGTTGGACCTGAGAACTGATGAGCATTTCGAGGACCTGCTAGAACTGACACAAGACATGAACAGGAGAAAAGGCACATGAATTTTCTTGTTATCAATATTTGTATGTGCATGAGGGCTTCACAGAAAAGAAGTAAAAACCTAAAGAAGCGGTGAGACGTGGGAGTTTATATGCCATTTTAACAAAGGGTGATAAATTGAGAGGAAGTGACTGAACAAAGGAAAGGGAATTTGGGCTTCTAGGGCCAATAAATGGTGGGAAAGTGACTAGGAAATATATTGCTCAAACTAATGGGAGAGAAGGGTGGTTCCCGTAAGGTCTGCTCACGCAGACTCGCCTCAGTGCTGGCTTAGAGTTGCTCCCCTCATTCTGGTCCAGGAGAGGGGGTGGGAGTCTATGCCACCTTCACAAAAGGGCATTTCTACCCTGCTTTTACACAGATAAGCAGAGAGCAAATAACTTTCCCTACATCTGTTGATTCTCAGTTGCCTTCAGCTCAAAATAATCCTGATGCCAAAGTGGCCTATTCTGGACCCCTTTGCCAGACCACCTGGGTTCAAACCAGCTCCATCGTTTCTCAGCTATGTGACCTTGAGCAAGTCCCTAAACTCTCTGTAAAATGGGGGTTACATCAGTTAGTTTCTCCATGGAGATGTGAGGACTGAGTTAACACACACAAAGTGCTTAGAACTGTATGAGTTAAAAGCTATGGAAGTGTTTATTGTTTTAATTATCTTCGGGCTTGTATTTTCACTTCCAAGAATGTACCCAAAGCACTGGAAAATTGCACTATAATGTACATATAAGGGTGTTCCTTGCAAAGTTGTTTAGAATAGCCAGAAGTAGGAAACCAAGTAGATGTCCACAAACAGGGATTGAATAAAATTGTACAGTGAAATACCAGGCACACATTACAAAGTATGATGTGGATGACAAGGTAGTGATTTGGAAAGATGTCCATACTATAGTTTGAAGAGAACCATTAAGAGACAACATATGTATTATTCCCATTAATTTTTGTCTTCCTATATGTAGATACACAAATAGAAAAAGACTAGAAGCCTGGACACCAAACAGATGAGGCTAGCTCTTGCTGAATGGAAGGACTAGTAGGAGCTTTAACATGCTTTTTTGCTTATGTGTGTTTCCTAATTTGTAATACATATGCTTTTCCTGTATAGTTTGAAAAGTAAAACCTGAGTATAGAACTTCGTACAGCTTCCTGGTGACTTAAGTGGAAAGAAACCATTTAACCGGTCTTAAATGGTTAGCCTGCCTGTCCCTTAGGCCAGGCTGGAGAACTCTAAGGAGCCAGGTTTTGTGCGATCGATATCGGCAGGCTAACCAACTAGCCAGCCGCATTTTCATGGATGTTGGCTAAAGATGCGAGACTCTCTGAGGTCTTTGCTTTGGGGTCTTTGTCTAAAGATCAGAGACAAAGGACAGGTTATTCATCACAGCAATAGCGAGCGCGTCAGCATTTGAGCTGGCTTCCAGCCTCAGTTCCCAGAGAGGGACGTGGAGAGGGCCAAGTGGCACTGGGACACAGGCAGAGCTCGGAGCCTGGAACGGGAATCTTCTATAATAAGTAGTGAGCAAATCTGCCCCATGCTCTGCAGGGAGACACACCCTGTCTTCCAAGGCGGTTCGTCATCCTAACGTCCTTTAAAAGACAGTCTGGAACAGAGACGACTCTCCTCACAGGATGTACAGGCACAGGAGAGACCTGGGGGGGATCATCCCCCGACAACCAGCGCTGCTCAAATGTTAACGGCCACATGAGTCACCCAGGGATCTCGTTAAACTACAGGGTCTGATTCAGGAAGTCTGGGGTGGGGCCTGAGAGTTGGCTAACAGAGAGTTTCCAACAAGCTCCAGGCTGTGTTGGTGCAGCTGGTCCCAGGCCCTCGCTCTGAGCAGAGGCCCTGGGCAGCACCCACGAAGCCAAGATACAGGGAGTGGCCTCAGGCCAGGGTGCTGGCCCCGGGGTTGTGACTGAGCAGGATGGTTGAGCGAGGTAGAGCCCTTCCTCGACGTTCCCAGGGATGAGCAGATGGGGGCGTGTCCGTGGTTTTAAAGGCCGGATTTGACCATGAACAAGTACACAGTGTGGCCAGAAGGCCTTCCCACCACCCCAGGGACCCTCTAGGGCCCAATGGGTAGAGGTTTCTACCTCCCCTGACCCCCGTCGGCTGGAAACTTCTCTGCCAGCCACAGTTCCCAGGAACAGCCCCTTTTTTCCCACAACACCCCACCCTGCCTTAGCCACTGATCCAACTAACAAGCCCCTGTGCTGTGTTTATCTGCGCCCTTCTGTTGTGGTTGAACTCTAGGATGCGTGCTGCTTGGCTCCCACCCACTTTGGGAGCCTGTCGGAGGCACCATGGTGTAGCTTCTGTGTGACCCTGGGCAGGTCACCCCTGCTCTGTGCCCATTTCCTCCTGTGCAAGTGAGATCGTAACACCCTTTCACCTTGAAGACTGTGTGGAGATGGAAGGAAATCACGTATGTTAAATACCTAACACCATGTTTGGACAGGGGAAGAACCTGATCAATGAACACTGTTACCATGTTTAGCAGTTGCTTGGTAAACATTCCCTAAAAAGACAATTGGGCCCTGGCTGGGTAGCTCAGTTGGTTAAGCATTGTCCCAATATGCCTAGGTTGCGGGTTCGATCCCCAGTCAGGGCACATACAAGAATCAACTGATGAATGCATCAATAAGTGAAACAAGAAAAATTAATATTTCTCTCTCTCTCTCCCCCTTTCCCTAAAAAATCAATAATAATAAAAAAGACAATTGGGGACCTTAAAGTAAATCTCTTACAAGTTTTGTGACTTGAGCCAGTCACCTCTTCTCTCTAAGCCTAAATTGTAAAACGGAGATAATTCTCACTGCTCAGAGAACTGAGCAGCAAATGAGATAGAAGAGCTTATAACCTAGAAGATGACCTAAAATACTATAATTACAAGGTAGAGGGAGGATACAAAACACACACTAGGAAAACATAACACGAATAGCTCTCTACAGCTTTAGGTAGGAAGCATCCCAAGCAGAAATCACACAGCCTTGCCTAGCACTTAACTCACCCAGCAGCCTGCCAGCCCTGCAGTACACAGCATCACTTCCGGAAATAAGTTCAGACCTCCCATGAGCCCTGGTGATGGGCGTCTGGGGCCCAGGTGACACATGGCTTCTTGTGAGAAGGTTGGGTTCGGGGTCTTCCACTTCTCAGGTCCAGGGTGAAGCTGCTCCCTGAGGCACAACCGACGGCGGCGAAGAAGCCCACTGTATGTTAGCTGTTGCTGTGTAACAAAATCACCCCAACATTTAGTGGCTTAAAGCCACTTTATTATAATCTCACTGTTAGGGTAGGTCGGGAATCTGGGTGCCTCTGACCTACCAGCTTAGCTGGATGCCTCTGGTTTAGTGTCTCTCACAGACTGCAGTCAAGTGTCACTCGGGGCTGTGGTCATCTCAAGGCTTCACAGGGTAGACCTGCTCCCAAGCTCATCCACGTGGCTCTTGCAGCCACGGGTCCTCACCAGCTGTGGGCGGAAACATCAATTCCTTGCCACGCGGGCCTTTCCTTAGGTGGCCTCCCAGGGCAGGAGCCCTGTCAGGGAGAGGGAGAGAGAAAAGAGTGTGTGCCACGTGGAAGCCACAGTCTGTCTGTCTGTCTCTCTCTTTAATTAATAAACTTTGAGGGCAGTTTTAGGTTGACAGGAAAATTGAGCAGAAACTACCAAAGTTTCCCATATCCCCCTACAGCCCGCTCCCCGTTTCCCCTATTATCCACATCTTGAATTGATGCAGTACATTTGTGACAGCTGGGAGGGCCACTGTTGACCATTATTATTAACCAAAGTCCATAGTGCAGGAGTCGCTTCTAGCGTGCGCTCTGTGGGTTTGGACAGATGTGCAACGACACCTCCCCACTGTGACAGCACCACACAGGATGGTTTCACCCTTCCCTCCACCTGTGGTCCACCAATTCAGTCTTCCCTCCTTCCCCAAACACCGTCTCTTTTCGTGACCTCATCTCGGAAGAGGCATTCCATCACGTTTGCCATACTCTACTCACTCGAGTCAATAGGTTCGGCCCCTACTCAACAGCAGGGCGTGAACACCGGGAGGCAGGGATCAGGGGACACTGACCACACCAACCCCCACAGAAGTTGTTCCACCCCTGGAATTTGTCCTCCTGCCGTGTCCACGGTGGATATTCACAAGGCTCACACAGGAGCACGCTGTCCCCAAGTCTGCCACCGCTGCAGGTTGGGAGCCCAAAGTCTGCTCATGGTGGGAGTGTCTTACAGTGAGCTGCTCACTAGGCACATTCCAGCCATGTGACCAGCCTTAAAGGTTGAAACCCTCCTGCCAGCCTCCACCAAAACCAGGTGCAAAATATAAACCCAATTATTATCACTGAACAGCGCTTGGCGGCTGAAACCTTCAGTGCCAAAACAACACATGGATCCATGGTCACAGAACATTGTTCGTCTTCAGTTAAGAGGTTCCATAGGATTGGTTGGCGTGCAGTCAGTCCACGCCAGTTGAGATTAACTCATGCTATGCAAGCCACCCCCTTGACCCCTGGTAAGAGTCCTTTCAGAACAACTAATTCTTCATCTGGAGGGTAATGGACATATCCGTCTACTTGGCATCTCTTTCAGGAATTGCTCGGCATTCTATGCAGGTTCTACATAGATTCTGCGACGATCTGTTAGGTACCTATGTCCAGTGGGGTAGCCCCATCTCCCCCACATCCCCTCCATATGCTAGGTCTGTGCAACAAATACTCCATTCCTTGGCCACCGTGGTTAGTGCAGTGATGGCTATATGACCCGTGCCGGGACAGAGACATCCTCTGGGGTTGGGATGGGTGCTAGATAGAGACACAGGAATGACTCTCTTTTCTGTGAAGAACTGCAGGGACGTCAGTACCATCTTTGCAATCCTGTTACCAGAACCTGTATGAAGATGAAGCTATTACAGAGGAGGCAGAGGCAAGATATGGAGAAAGGGAGACATTTTTTAAAAGATTTTATTTATTTTTATTTTTAGAGAGAGGAAAGGAGGGAGAAAGAGAGGGAGAGAAACATCATTGTGTGGTAGCCTCATGCACACTCCAACTGGGGACCCAGATCACAACCCAAGCATGTGCTCTGACTGGGAATCGAACCAGCAACCTTTCCATTTGCAGACTGGTGCTCATCTGCTGAGCCACACCAGCAGGGCAAAAGGGACAAATTTTGATGACCCAGTGTGACCTCCTGGATCCAGCCATGTCTGAAGCCACAGCCACCCCTGGACTGTGGGCTTTATGAGTCCATCTCTTCCTTTTGTCAGTAATCCCTTCCTTGCCCTTGGAAGGGTCCGCACTGATACGGCCTGGGTGTGAAAAAGAAGCTTAAAACTTCCATCCCAGCGGTGGTTTGCCTTGGAGCCACTTCTGTGCTTTGGGAGCTTTAACCCCCACGGATTCCTCTATTTCTGTCTTCAGTTCAGACTCCCATTTGGCTCCAGGCTACAAGTAGGCACTTTCTCCTCTGGCTCAAAGCCCCCTCCCCAGAACACTGGGCTTGGAGGCCTTTGCTTCATTCCTCCTACACTCTCCCTTGCTCCAGGCCCCTGTAATTTTTTCTGTGAATTTTATTTGAATTTTCTCTATCAGCCAGCCAGTGAAGGCACATTTCTTTGTAAAGTTCACCCGTCGATGAGGTGAGCTCTACACCATCAGCCAGGACAGTCTCGCCGGTGGCTGGGTGGCTGCCCCGACCTAGAATGTCATTGCTTAATACTCTTCCAGTAGAGCGCTTCCTACTAGGGGTCAGGCACTGTCTGCTATATGATTTATGTAAGTACTGCATTTGATTCCCACAACAATGAGATACTTGCAGCCCTGGCTGGTGTGGCTCAGTGGATTGAGCACCGGCCTGCAAACCAAAGGGTCATAGGTTCGATTCCCAGTCAGGGCACATGCCTGGGTTGCATGCAAGCTAGGTCCCAGGCAGCGCGCGAGAGAAAACCACACATTGATGTTTCTCTCCCTCTCTTCCTCCCTCCATTCCCCTCTCTCTAAAAATAAGCAAATAAAATCTTTACCAAAAAAAATTAGATACTTGCATTCCTGTTTCCAGATGTGGTAACTAAGGCTCAGAGAGGTTAAGCATTTGCCTGAGATCACACAGCTAGCATATGGTGGGAAAGAGATAAATTCAGCTCTGGTGTCAAAGCTTGTAAGTTTACCCACTATCCCAGAAATTTCACAGCAGAAAGGCAAGCACGGGCCCCGCCACCCTCCCCCTCACCTCCCCCCCCCTCCCCCGCCATGGAAGACAATGCAATGTGAGCGAGGAAGGCGTCCTCAAGCGGGTGCACCCTCGGACTCCTCCCTGCACCACCCCCACAGTCCAGAAGGAGGTGAATCCGAGCACAGGGGCGTTGCCTTCTCAGCTGCCCCACCCTCCGCTGTCTTTACTTTGAGCCCTGGGCACTGGGTGAGGTCCTGGGGCACGTGGCATGTTTCCCATCCCCTCCTCCCCCGGAGCCGCACCAAAGCCCCCGTTCCTTGACCCTTGGTTCCTGGGCGCTCCGCAGCCTGGGCAGCCGACAGGCCTAGGCAGCACAGGAGGGCCGCCCCTGCTCGCTTCAGGGGCCCCGCCCTGTGCGGCTGCTAACCTTTCCCCGGGGAGCAGGGCTCTTCCAGAAGTCCTTTCACTGTATTTTACCAGGATCAATGGCCAAAATGGAATGCGCTGTAACGGGCCTCTCATGGCAGCATGAGAAGAGGGCTGTCAGCTGGGGGCCAGCCGGGGCCAAGATAACCACTTTCACTTGCCTTTCAAGTGGTGTTTCGTGTTGGCTTTCAGCTTCTCCTAGCATCCTGCCTGCCTTCAACTCTTTGGAAGGCAGGGACCTCGTCCTAAACCTCCACTCTGGCCCTCCCAGCCCTGCACTGGGTGCACACAGGTGACCGGTGCCACCCCAGAGACCACCCCCATCCCTTGGGCCTTTCGGTAACCTCTTTGTGATCGATGGTGATTCCCCCCACAACGGAGGCAGGGTCTAGGCCCACAGGTGTCGCAGGCTGGCAACACCAGGAAATGAACACCCCCAGGCCGGGCCCTTGGCGCCGGAAGGCGGGCAGGAGGATCCTGCTGGTGATTCCCTGCAGCGTTAAGCTCCCGCTGCACTGCAGGAAGCTGGTGTGACAGTGTCCCCGGATTGGCGATTGGCGTCTGCCCTTCCCTGTTTCCTCTCCGCTGATCTTTCCTACAAACAATCTACAAGCAAGCGGGAGTCCTTGCTTCAGGGTCTGCTTCTGGGATAACACAAACTAAGATAACACGGGCCCTCCCTCAGCAACTATTTGTGGAAGGGAAGAAAATATATTAACTTGGGACAAGTAGTATAGTAAGGTCTCTTTGAGGCTCCAAAACTTTGCTTAAAATGCCATTTTGGGGGATTAGGGGAGGGTCATGTTTGTAAGAGAAGCAATATTCTTTTTGAGACTTCTTGTAATAACCTCCCAGGAATGAAGTTCTGGAACTCACTTATTTTGAAGACCACGTAAGGGCAGGGAGTACATTTAATTAAAAGAAAAAGTCTCCAGGATATTTGGAGCATGTTCTTTGAGCCCAGAGAACCACACTGTGTGGAGTTTTACCCTTGAAATTCACTTACAATTTAGCACTGACATAATCTACACATTTTCTTTTGGCGGGGGAGGGGCAGGTTGTAGACATCTAACTGGGATGAGAAATTGAGCAACAGAGATGCCAGTTTATTTGAGAAAAAGGAAATTCTGAAAAGAACTTTGTTCATTAAGTTGCTTATGTCAAGGACTGTCGCTTTCCTGGGCCATTACGCGCAGCTCGGTGGAAGGAGAGGTCGCCCTCCTCCACACCCCAGACATCTGCTTCCTTCAGCTGTAGGCCCGATTTCCTTTTATTCTTCTGCTATTTTAACACACAAACTAGTGGTACGGATAAATGACAAGCTTGTCAGTATCACGGGTGGATTTTCACTCGGGCAGAGTGGTGGCTAAATCACAGTGTGGGAGCTTTGGAGTAAGGTGCCCTTCGAAGCAGTGAAGGGGGCGGTCGGCTTTTGACAAGGGCTGCCTGCTGCTGGTGCGGCCGTTTTGATCGGACAGGCAGGCCAGGCTCTCAGGCGTCTCCTCGGCATAGGGGTCCAATTGGAAGCTCTTCAGGGCCAAAATCCGGTACCGCTTCCTCCGGTTCTGTTTATAAATGCGAATCCTTTCTTTTTCTGCCTCTGGGTCGGAGAGAATTCCATCCCAACGCAGACTCTCATTGATCTGGTTCGAAAGGGTCTCTTCTACGTCGTCCAAGTGGGGGAGACTCCCCGAGGAGGAGAAAGAAGGGGTGAGCTTGTTTTGCTCTTTGTCCTGTCTTTGCTCTTGCCTCGAGCCATGATCTTTGCTGGGGCTGACAGGGGCATGAGAAGACGGAGACAGCTGCTGGTTCCTCAGGCTTCGACTCCGATGTCTATCTGCTGAGCAGATGCGCAGAGTTAGCATTTGTGGTGATGCCTGCCCTCATCCTGCTCAGGAATGATGCCAAACTCACCAAACATATAAGGGGGTGGGGGCCCCTCCTTACCTAGGGCTCAAGTGGCCAAGCCCACCAGCCTTGTACACACCCACTGGCTATATGCTTTTGGATAAGTCACTCTGGGGAGGAAGGGACCATTTGTTGGGCACACACTACGAGCCAGGTCCTCTGGATAAAGACTATCAGGCCTATTTTCCAGGTGAGGAAACGGAGACTCCGAAAGCCTAAGTAACTTGCCAATGTCACATAGCAGGTGGCAGGGCCAGGATTTGAACACAGGCCTGACTCCTAGTGCCCTATTCTTCCTGCTGCGCCATGCTGCCCCCCACTTTACCTCTCCGTGTGCTCAGTGAGACACTTTCCAGCTCTAGGAGCCCAGGGCCCTACCCCCAGTCCAGGCTCCCTTATGATGAAAGAAATGAAGAACAACAGAAAAACTTCCTACGTCTGACTGCGGAAAGCAACAACATGCCAAGCCAGGAAATACTTCTGCTGGGTGGCTTGTAGTGATTTTTTTTTCTTACATTAATAGCATTCCTGAATTATATAACACACACACAAAACATGGTAAGTTCTTCTTTCATCAACTTATCCTTCTTCTGGGGGGAGAGAAAAATCCGCTCCAAAAAAGAGAAAATAAGAAAAAAGAAAAAAAAATCCTCTTTTGACATTCCTATACCTTTCTATTCCCTGAAAAATAGTTGGTGTCCCCTGCTGACAGTATGAGGTACATGCTACTATAATTTCTGGAGTTGGAAGCTAAGCCAAAAAGACAATACATTTCCTAATTCGGTTTTGCAGACACACTCAGGGCCTTTTGACCTAAACTCCAGAGCTGATTTTGTGCCTTTTTATTACGATTCCACCTGAAGAATTGTAATTTTCCCATGGTTTCCTTCCCCAAAATTCAAGGTTGACATGGGAAAAGCGGCTGCTGCTCCTGCCTCCAGCTTCCCAGGGGGGCCAGCTCCGCACACAGGGATCGGGGCCCAGAAACTTGAACCCAGGACACTAGAGGTCAGGGCTGCTGTGCGAGGGTGAGAGCCACCTCTCTGACAGCCAAAGCCCTGGAGGGGGACCACACAGGTGACAGTGGAGACTTAGCTCTCATGGGCAGGTGAATTCTACATCACTGTTACTCTCTCTCCATGAAGCGGGTGCTCGGTGCCTTTGCCAAGAAACCAAGGGGTTCCGAGAGGAGTTCAGTGAGACGTAGGGACTCTGTGGGCTTGTGGCAGGTGTTGGTATGTGTATGTCTGACGTGTCCGTGAGAGAGACCGGAGTGAGAGCCGGCACACGTATAGTTGCGTGTGTACAGGAACTTTTCCGGGGGGCGGGGGCAGTCTCTGCAAGTGAGTGTGAAAGGGTATCTGTTATGTGTGTGCAGACTGTGAATGTGTGCCTGCTGGGGTATCTGCACTTTAGGTTTGTTTTTTGCCTCCTTTATTTTAGAGAGGAAGAGAGAGAAAGAGAGAAACATGAATTTGTTGTTCCACTGATTTATGCATTCACTGGTTGATTCTTGTATGTGCCCTGTCCGGGGACACAACGCACAACCTTGGTGTATCCAGATGACGCCCTAACCGACTGAGCTACCTGTCCAGGCCTGTACTTCGGTCTTATTTGGTGGTTATGTTGACATAAGGGAGCGTTGCTGAGGATGTTTGGGATTGTAACAGTGTGTAGCAGGGATTGACGGGATGGTGTGTGTGCAGTCGAAGCCTGGCCTGGGCGGATGGGGGTTGGGGGACGACAGTCTATGCAGGGCGGTTACTACTTTATATGCATTAACTGTGTGCCTACACAACACCCGTCGGTCAGGTACCCCTGAAAAATGAGGGGACAAGGAGGGTCCCTCGGCAGAAGCCTGTGAGTCTGTGTGTGAGGAGTATCTGCCTCTAGTGCCTTAGCTTCTCTGGTTTGGGGAAAGTCTGTGTGAAGATGAGGGACTCTCTGTGGGAGGGTTGAGATTTCTGTGGGGAAGGCACGGATGTTTAGGGTTGCGATTCGGCTGAGGGGTTAGGAAGTTGAGGTGCTGTGCGGGGCTGGGAGGCTGTGCGCAAATAACGCTGGTATCTGGGGGGTTGTCTCTGAGGTAGAAGGTCTCCATGGATATTGAGAATTCTCGACTTGGGGTTTCTGTGTTCTTTGGGGCAGGGTCTCTGCAGACACGGAGAATCTTTATGAGCAGGTGTGGGGCATCACTGTGCATGGATAAGCGGTGTGTGGCGGGGAGCGGGGCTCCCTCTTTGAGACTGGCGACTTTCTCTTTCTGGTCTGAACTGGTCCCCAGGTAGATGAGGGTCTCTGTGAGGGACAAGGGTAGGTGACCTCAGGGGAAAAAAAAAACTCAGGTACAAGAGCTGAGGCTTCTGCACTAGCTGTTCCTCTTACCGTCCCCCTTGCCTGACCCCTCAGTCTTTTTCTTCTTCTTTTTCTTCTTCACCTTCCGTTTGGTGGGCTGGGGGAAGCTGCAGCCGATGGGAGGCAGTGTGGACCCTTTTGTGCCTGCAGCGCCGCCCTCTATCTCCTCCTCCTCGTCCGCGTCCTCGCCGAACCGCAACGCCACGGCCCCACCGAGGTGGTCCATCCCACCAGGGGGCCGCCACCTGCGCCGGGCAGCCCAAGACCCGCTGCCGCTGGAGCCCGGGGCTCCAGGCGCGGAGTGCCTGGCCAGGGCCACGCGTCTCCGAGGCGACCGCCACGCAGCGCCAGCGCGCATGAGCAATCAGGAAGCTTCCGCCCAGGTGCCGCCGAAGGACTAGGTATGCGCATGCGTGCTTCAGGCTGCCACTTTGCACACGCGATCCGTAGGGAAGGAGTGAAAGGAGAGATTGTCAATACTTGGGCAAACACGTATCCTGTATATTCCTTCACCCTTTAAAACGCTGTTTGTTCTCTCCTAAACTTTTATCTGCTGAGTTTCAGTCGTACACCTACCCTGTCCTTTCAAACCCAACACGTGCAAAACAAACTTCTCCATTGTTCTCCATCTCAGTGAACAAAACAGCGGGACAGGCCAGAACCCTGGCTGCCTACCTGCCCCCATGCTCTCCCTGTGCCCTCACCTAGGCTAGGGCTGACCGCCACGTCTGGCACTTGATCTTCTGGACATCCCTCCAACCCGTCTACACTTGCAAACCCTCCCCACAAATCCTTTATCTACACAGCTGCTAAAATTAATTTTTAAAGACAAGTGGATAATTTCACTCTCTTGATTAAAACCTTCCAATGAGTCCCCCTTACAATTCATATTAAAATTTAACTTCAGCATGGCTTACAAAGCCTGGTATGCTCTGTCCCCTTTTCATTCCAGGTTTATTCATCACATTATATTTTCCAAAAGTGGCTGCAATAACATCTCTCATCCCACATTCTCTTTTGGAATTCTGCCATTTCCACATCAAGAGACAGATTCTAATTCCTCTCCCTTCAATCTGAGTGGGTTGCTTGACTCACTTGTAACTCACTTGTATGTGGTGAAAGTGACATTGTGACTTCTTAGGCGAGGTCATAAAAAGTAACACAGCATCTACTTTGTTAGCCGAAGACTTCTCCTGGAGACCTGAGCCTCCTGGTAAGAAGTCTAAGTTCTCTGAGGCCATTATACCGTAAGGACGCCCAAACTAGACCACAGGGAGAGACCCTAAGACTTTATGAAGGGAGAGGGAGATGCCCCCAGTTGCTCCAGCCCCCACTTTTCCACATCTAGCCATAGTCTTGTTATTGGACAGGGACCAGCCTGAATGGGTCTGCCTCAGACCAAGCCTGAAGTGTCTGGGTTCTTGATTTCATGTAGGAAAGATTTCACAATGCAAGTCCAGGTGATTTTGTGAGTACGTCTATTAAAGCTGGGGATAGTGAAACAATGGAAGGATTTAGGGTAAAAGAAGCAAAGAAGAGAGACTCAGCAGGGTTGCTTTCACTCCCTAGAAATGTTACAGGAAAGAAGCGAGCCCAGGCAGGACTGCTGTCAGCTCACTGGGAAGGCAGAGAAAAGGGGCCCTGGAGACAGGGTCAGGGGGTGAGCCTGGGTTGAGAGAACACTGCCTGCTGCTCCCCTGGTTGCAAGTCTTATAGAAACCCTTAGGGTTTAGAAAGAAGTAAGAAGTTCATCCCTGGGAAGGGGCGTGGGAGTGATTTAGAGCGAGCCTGCACTGAGTCTTTGTCCAGAGGGTTTTTTATCTTTCTTCTGTGGGTGAGAATCTTAGGAGAGTGTTTGGGCTTATTCTTTGGTCTGCTATACTGTTTTATTTTTATCTTGGATCTGCCTGGCTTAGTGGGGTTTTTGTTATTTGTCCCCCTCACTTTATCTGTCCTTGAGATTAGCTGGCACAAATGACATTAATTTGGTCTCTTTTCTCTATTTCCCAGACCAGGGAGATTTCAGCTACGTATTCTTTGGTTAGGGGGGAGAGGTATGAACCATTTGCTCTCGAGCTTCCTTGTTCAGGGGCGATAAGGTCTTGTGATTCACCCACTGGCTGTAAATTGCTCAAATTGTTTGGCCTTGTTTAATTTTCTTGTCTCAGTTCCCCCATTCCACTTGCCCAGGAATCTTCCTTGCTTCTTACTACCCTGTCACAGTCTGACCAAAACAGCAGGAGAGACTCCCAGGCCAGCTTTACCCAATCCCTCCCTGAATACTAACTCAAAGAAATTATGAGGGATGATAAAATGGTTGTAATTGTTTAAGTTACTAAATTTCAATATGGTAAGTTGTATAACCACAGATAACCCGAACATCAGTCTTTGATTTTTGCCATTCTAGTGTGTATGAAGCTATATTTCCTTGTGTTTTAAGTGCTATTTCCCTGATAACTAATGGCAGTGAGCACTTTTTGAAACTACTTATTGGCCATTTGAATATCTCACTTTGTAAAGTGTCTGTTGAAGTCTTTACCCATTTTGTAATTGGAATGTTTATATTTTTATTGTTGATTTGTAAGAACTCTTTATATTAGTTGAATATAAAATCCTTCCTCAGATATATGGCTGCAAAGATTTTTTTTCCAGGTCTGCAGCTTTTGGACTCATTTTCTTAATGGTGTCTTTTGACAAGCAGAAATTTCAAATTCTGGTGAAGACATTTTATCAGCTTTTCTTTTTGCATCCTGCCCAAGGAAATCTTTCCCTACTCCTCCATCAAAAAGATAGCCTTTCATTTGCTTCAGGAAGCCTTATGGTTCTGGGGCTATAGTTAGATACATGAGCCATCGCAAATTAATTTTATGAATAAAGTCAGGGGTCAAGACTCTTTTTTTTTCCAAAAGGATTTCTAGTTGTTCTAGCAATTTTCATTGAGAAAATGTCCCTTTCTCTATTATCTTATTTGTCACTTTTGTAGAAAATCAGTTAACTGTATATGTGTGAATCTACTTCTGGACTCAATTCTGTTCCCTTGATCTACCTGTCTCTCCATATACCAGTACCACACTATCCTGGCTATTGTAGCTTTATACTAAGTCTTGATCTAAGGTAGTGTAAGTTCACTGACTTTGTTCATTTTGAAGATTGTTTAGACTATTTTAGAGCCCTTGCTTTTCCACCTGCATTTTCAAAAAGATCTTGCTTATTTCTTCAAAAGAGCCTGCTGTGATTATAATGGCAGTTCCACCAAATCTATGAAGTTTGGCGCTCTTATGCTCAGTAATAGCAGCCACCAGTGCTGAACCACACACAGGCACGTGTGCACACATTGGTCTGTAAAGGACCCTTCTGTTCTGCGTGTCCTCAGTCCTCTCATCCGTTAATGTGTCCAGCACAGCCTGCATGTAGTGAGTGCTTGGAATCTGTCCTTTGCCTGTCTGCTTTTGTCCCTAGGAGCTAAGTGAAATGTAAATGATTGAAGTCTTCTATGCAAACGACCGCCTACTAGTGAAGACAGCTAGGGTTTCCTCTCCAGATGTCCTGCCCTTCTCGCTCTGGTGCCTACAGACAGGTGCTGGCTGCCCCTCCCCCCGCTTTCCAAGGGAGGCTGGCCTGTCTTCCCTCTCAGCCTGTCCTCCTTGCCTGGGTACTCATCTGGGAGGAGGCAGCTTGACCATTTCTCTTCCCAATTTTAGTGAAGGTTGCATCGAGGTTATGTTGAGCTAGCCACTCTGCTTTGAAAGAGAAAATTCATATCCAGCAAAGGAATAAGATCTCTTGCCGGTAGAAGGAGATTGGGCAAATAATATCCCTATTTGATAGATGAGCAAACAGAGAGATGCAAAGTGACTTGCTCAACCTCTTAATTCTCATTAGCCGCCAAATTGGGCCTGGACTCCACATCCCCAGTTCTGCGAATCTTGCCAGGGGAGCAATCAACTTTACAGTCATGTTCCTTGAACAACAGGAGAGGTCATAGTGTCTTCATTATTTGTTGTATCTTCCTTGTTTAAACTTTCTCCTTGTGGTCTAATTGGATGTTCTTGTTATGAGCAGGTAAGAGCTGAGTTTCCTTCTCTCCAAGGGTCAAGCTCTCCCTTCAGCCCAGTGCCGATACAGGCGCGCCTCGGGCAGAGCTTACAGCGCTCTCCCGCCGCTGCCCGCTCGGCCTGAGTCTGCCCGGCTGGCCCGGCCGCTGGTCCCAGCTCTCTGCCCGGCCCTCCCCGTTCTCCCCGCACTGTCAGTTCCCTCCCCAAGGCAGACAGTCCGTGTCTCCGCTTCAGCAGCACCAGCCTCAGACTCGGGCAAGTGGGGACCCTGCGCTGGACCCTGGGCTTCACGGAGCCCTGCTCTGACTCCCCACCAGCTGCACCCCTCCCTAAGGGACAGGAAGCCTGCGGAAGCAGAGGTCTGGCCCATGCGGCACCTATCTCCCACCTCCCCATGTCTAGCCCACAGTCTGAGTCCCTGGAACCTTGCAATTTCTTGCTCAATTGTCCCCAGCCTTCTAGCTGGGCCTATGTGGGCCTCTCTCCTGAGTCCATCTCCCTGAGCAGCCCTTGGCCAACGGCAGCACAGATGGAAATTCAACGGGCTGGTTGAGGTTCCAGAACTGTGCCTTCAAAGGTCTCCTTGGTGCAGAACACCCCTAGGGGTGGGAAGAGGCGGGCAGGCCGAGGGCTGGGCACAGAACTCCGAAGCACCTTACTGGGGAAAACCCCAAAAGTCTAAATTCAGGGTGAATTCTGAAGAAGTGACACACGGCCTTATTCAAATTCACAAGAGCTTTAATAGGAGAAACTTACATACACCAGCCAAGCAGCCGCTTCTAGTAGTGGCAGGCTGGGAAAAATCCACACCCCTCCCAGGACAGTTCCCTTTTTCAAAGGCAGTAAATAGCAGGGGTTAATAGCAAAACCAGATGGCAGGTAGTTGTGTGGACCCCCCAAGAGAACAATGCATCACTAAATTAAAAGATAACATCAGGCAGTTACTACACTCTGTACCTCATTACCCTCCTTCCTAGGGGCATGATATTCATCTTTGGGCGGCATTCTAATTTTCGGGGGAGTCAGCCAAGTGTGAGGTTACAGAGAGTTAAACAGTCAGAAAAAGTTCAACAGTCACAGAGAGTTCAACATCTCCCAGACGCCTTTGCTGCTGGAGCCATATTGCATCTCTAAAGTGAGTTCCCCTACAAGCCTGAAATTCAAAATTCAG